AGAATCAGTTGCAAGAATTAGCCCAAAGAAGCTGCTTCAATTTGCCATCTTATTCATGCATCAGAGAAGGACCAGATCATGCACCTCGATTCAAAGCTACTGTTAAGTTTAATGGAGAGACGTTTGAGAGCCCCACCTTCTGCTCTACTTTGAGACAGGCAGAACATGCTGCAGCTGAAGTTGCTCTTAATACACTTGCAGAAAGGGGCCCTTCTATAGCACTAGCTGCAAAAGTTCTGGTTAGCATTTTTATCCTCTCTTCTATTTTCATTAGCACTGGTGTGCTGAGTGTACAATATGATTTATCGATGTATGCCTAGTGAGTTTTTAGTAGATAGCAGCTATTCTTTGGCTAGGAAATAGATTTAATAGCTTCTTCTGAAAAGAAAAAAAAGAAAAGAAAAAGAGCTGATCCTACATAGTGTATAACATCCTTGGTCATTAGCCATGCAAGTCACTGCATTGTCATAAAAAGTTACTGATTATTTATGTTGCCATTGACAAAATGCACATCTTTGTGGATATCAATACATTGCTCTTATCTCATTCTATTACAACATTAAGATTCTAATATAAAATCCAAGTAGAAATTATTTAAATGAAACACAAGGGTATGCATGCTGTCCATTTCATTTTATTGGGACTGTAGTTGAAGTCCCGCCAATTGAAAACTACAGATCAACTCTCCCTTGGTTATAAATAAGGGATATGAATGGTGGAATTTTGTTTACAGTATATATAAATATGTTCCCCATCTAATGTCTTTTTGGTTATTTTTGCTATTACTTCAATCAACAATGATTGAACACATGAATTGGATAAATGATTCCTACTTCAGGGATATTCTACTCTTGATTGATAGAAGTGGATAAATTAGAATGATTCCGGGAGTGCATGAATGTCATGTGACAGGAGAGAGCAAAGACACAGCTTTAAAATGGGAAAAATTTTAATGCAAGTGTTGGTTACAGAGGGGCCTATAAGAGTGGAGGACTACACAGGACATGATCTGGACAATATATGTGGCTTTAACAGTCAGGTAGGAAATTTTGTGATCATGACATGATCTGATCCTTGGCTTTTATACTGCGCTATCACAATTCTAGGCAGATCATCATCACAGGTGACTGGAGACTGGTGCATGGTTGTCACGCTCCCCTGAGCATCACAGATTCGATCAGTCAAATTCAGCTTCTTCCAAATCAATTTTTTGTTAGTTCAAACCAGTTCCTAAAGTCTTTCAGTATAATCTATAACTCTCCTTGTGGCAAAAAGAACCTTTGTTTACCAAAATTTGCTTCTCTTTGTGAGATTGTCAATAGGTAAAGTCCTTCTCCATGCTGCCTCCTAAGTAACAAAAAGAAAAGGAAAGAAACAATTGTTTACCTCTGTGTGAGATTGCTTACCTCCATTTGACTTTTGTTTTTAAAGAAAAATTGTCCACTATGGTTACAATAGGATCCGATAGAAAACCTCCATCCTTAGAAAACTTCCAAACAAGAAAACCATTGGGATCAGGCCGAGTAGAGGTAAGCAAGAAAGAATCCAGTCATCGACCTCCCAATATTGAGATACTTAGTATACGACAGTTTAGATTGACTTCCACGCATAGTATCTGTTCACTTCAGCAGCAGCAGGTTAGTTGGTTCTGCTGTATTTGGTGTTCATCTCAAATATTAGGACACTTTTCTTGTACCTGCCTGCCCTTGTAAATGAACTTTGATAAATAAAAAAATCAACGATGAATGATAAGTTCCCTGTAATAGCATTCAAATCAGAAATGTATCTATATGTGCATGCACATGTGCAGGGAAACAGAGAGAAGATTGATTTGGCAAATTAATTGTTTGACTTCTCTTTTGTGGGATTGTTCATAGTGTATTGCTTATGCTGTCTTTGAAATGTCGCATCTTGATAGAGTTTGCTGTTACACTCTTCAGTTTGTTGGCATGCTCCTGCATGACATGCAGAATAATGTGTTTGGTTCTTGTCTCAGGATGAGACTGGAGTCTACAAAAATTTGCTTCAAGAAACTGCTCACAGAGCTGGCTTAAACCTTCCAGTGTACACAACTCTTCGATCAGGACCTGGCCATGTACCCTCTTTTTCATGCATTGTTGAGCTTGCAGGAATGAGTTTTACTGGGGAACCTGCTAGGACAAAGAAACAGGCTCAGAAGAATGCAGCGATGGCTGCTTGGTCTGCCCTGAAAAGATGTATTCATCTCCTTTCTGTTAAATTGAGAATTTTAAGTCCTTTCATTTAGTTGTCGTATGTCTTCCTTACATTTAATCAAGCCTTAACCCAACCTTGATACAGTTCACTTCTATTCAGCAAACATATTACTTCTTTAAAGCTTTTCATCCAGATTTTTCTTCCACATGTTTTTCACGTGTCACAAGTTACTGAAAATGCTCATAGCTCATATCTTACACAATGCTCATGCAGTGTCTCGATCTGGCTCACAGTCCTTTAGTTCATCATCTTCCTCAGCATCAGAAACTAAAAGCAATGAAGAACAAGAACAAGTTGTCATTGCTCGTATCCTTGTATCTTTGCGACCATCCGAGCCAAACCACCCTGTGCAGAGTGACTGGCTGCACCAACATCAGAGATCGATTCCTATGCAGAGGGACATGAGCACACCAACTCAAAGCGTTTATCCTTTTCATTCTGAACACTGGAGATATCCTAGTTTTTCCCCGGAATTGGCTGTGTACCACATGTGGCATCAAGAACAGTTATTGCAACTGCAAAATCGCCTGTTGACAATGCCTGTTTCACCAGTCCCTCCTCGCAGCCCTCAGATTCTTCCATATATGCAGTCTATTTTCCACCCAGATCACTATCTATATCTTCCTGCAAGGGAGCAGGAACCTTTACCTGTTGCACCCAGAC